GCAGGCTTGCAAGTGTGGTCTTCAATCGAACCGTTTAGGATACTTGCAGTGATGCAGGAAAGAGAAGCTTATCGTAGTAGTCAAGACGTTGCTTTCCTATTCGAAAGCCGTCCGAAGATAACCAGATACTATTCTAAGAACCCGGAAAACGCCAAACCCTAGTTTTATCGTGCTTGCGAAATTCTCAAGCGTGCCCAGGTCGTTTCAGCTTTGTGGGCAGACAGATTGTAGACTCTAGACTTGGGCGTTTGGAGCTGCCTTGCCTAATCTAGGTTATGAAAACAAGGGAATCAACCCCAAAAGGTATGTTATATACCACATGCAATGCCGCATTATCTCCCTTCCAGGATGGGGTCTTCCTCAGTTGAAATCCTAACCCCTGCAACCCAAAACCCAAGCTGTTGTTCCCTTGGTTGGATCCTGGTCGGGCCATTTTCCCATGACCAATTTCACCGGTCGTCGTCGTTGTTGTTGTTGTTGTGGTGGTGGTGGTGGTGAGCATAGCTGATTCCGGACTTGCGACGTGCACACCCCGTCTTCAACTTTTGATGTAGGTGTTATTGATCTGTTTATCTGTTCTTATTAGTTCTTTTTTTATTAAGAATATGTGCCCCAAGATTGTTGGGTCGCGTGAGAGCTTTGGGCAGATAGCCACCTCAGATGACTCACATGAGGGCACACGAAGTCTCGGCCAAGGAAACGGTAAACCCAAGCCCAAATATCCCACTCTACTCCCGTTTGCAATCCTTGCTTCGCGGCTGTGTCCTCACCTAGATCTCACCAGCGCAGCTCGTACGGCCGGCGATTTGGTGTTGTGACGCCGGCATGCCTTTTCAGCTGATTAGCTCACTCCACGTGCAGGTGCTGATATCCCAAGTCCTGAAGGATTGCTCTGTTACTGCGTGCAACATGCGGTTTGGGGCTCATGAGTTCGGGTCAGTTTAAGTCTGTGTAATTAAGAGTCTTGGTGTAGTTGGGCGTGATTGCCGACCATCAAGCATCCCAACAAGCTAAAATCGCGAAGGCTTGTTCTATCAGCTATCACATCCGACATCCCTCCCCAAACGCTACCGTCCCAACCTATTGTATGTAGCATCATGGCATCACTTCTGAGAACCTTAATGACAAGTCATACGACCGTCACAACGAGGCACCGAGCATGCAACTTGACATCTAAAAGCACCCGACTCGCTAGTCATCCGGAGAAATTTTCAGACCTTGGGATCCCCCCCCCCCACAAGCGACGACCATGTAGAGCCACATCCCTGGAGGACCTTTAGCCCGGCAACATGAATTTACACCCGAAGCTTTTCAAGCCACTTTCTGAACCCCTGGGCCTAAAAACCCTGAGCCCTAAGCCAAGCTCCAAGCTTTCAAGCCCCAAAACCCCGATTCTACTCCCACTTCAACTCCAGCATCTCTAGCCCCCGAAGCTCGTCGGCTTCCTTTTTTTTGCCGGTGATGTTTGCCGCCCATGAAGGTAGTTCTCTAAAGTAGGGTCCTTTTTCAGGTCCCCCCAAAAAAAAGTACGGCACCCGTAGAGGAGGGACCCGAAAGGAGGCCCCACAGTCGGGTACTATAGGAGCCTTAATAATTAGAACAGGGGCTTTTAGGTTCCTGATTATAATTATAGTATAAAATACCCCAAACCCTATTCTAATTATTAAGGCTCCTATATTACTATCCATGAAGGTCCAAGAAGCTGAAGGTCACAGCTTGGGGCTGAGAAGCAGCCTATCTCCGGCTTCGCTGTTCTGCTTTTCGTGGGTTTCGGTTTAGGGGTTTGGGTTCCCTAAATCCTAAATCCTAGACCCTAAAACCTAAAGACGTTTTCTTGGACGTCAATGGCTGGGCCTTGGAACTGGCAGACTTAGAGTTTAGGGTTTGGGCTCTGGTGTCTGCTCTTGGACGGTGTTTGTGGTTTCGAGTTCAGGGTAGATCAGAGAGCTCTCGTGGAACTTGGACCGGAGTACGTGCGCATCGTGAGGCACGTTTGTGTCAGGCTATCGGCTACAACTTATGCAGGGGCCTTGATAATTACCTATACTCGTTTGGGATAGCTATAGTATCAAATGCCCCAAAACCCTATTCCACTTCTTAAGGCCCCTACATTACGCTAAATACCCGGAGGCCGGCACTTTCGCACCAGTTTGTTCTGAACACTTATCGTTCGTTTTTGGGCTTAGCCCTGAGCCCTCCCTGAGAAATCACCCCCAACATCCTGGAAGTCTTCGGCTCCCAACAGCCCTGGAAGCCCTGCAAGGGACTTTCCGAAAATTAGGGGTACCTTATTTTGGGGTCCTTATAATAAGGATCTTACTATTTAGGGTACTATATTAGGGTCCCCTATTTTCGGAAACCCCCACAAGCTCAAGACAACCTGAAGGCATCAAAGCCCTAAACCCTCGAAAGGCGTAACAAATCTCCACCCCAAAAGAAAGCAGAGGCCCTCTCCATGGGGAACCTCGGCGATATCGAGTCCACGTCCGCGCTGCCGGCGGCCCGAGATTAGGGTCTCCTGGGTTTTTTGGGAGGGGGTCCGTGGGATAATTACAAAGGCTTCAAAAAGGGGGTTCATAGGGTTCGCCAGGATCTTGGTAAGCTTTGTGCCCGCTTACCTGATCTTATGAAGAGTTTGCCAGGGTTTCGAAGAGTTTTAGGGGCACGTGTAAGGGCCTCGGCTTGGTTTCGGGGTTTACGGTTTTGGGGTTCAGGATTTTGTCCTTAACCTTTCGCGACGGTCCAGTGCCATAGGGCTTAGATTACCAAGGCTCTTTAATCTTAGGCCAGAAACCTCATTTTGTCATGTACTTGGCGAACTTTGTGCTTATGTGATTGTTTTGACACTGGTTGCTTTTATTTGTTACTGTTTGTCTTTAACGTTTTTATTTTGATGATTGTTGCTTTTTTGATTGATTCAGATTCCGGTGCTGGCTTGCTGCTTTTCCACAACATCGCCGATGCCAGGGCGATCAAGCGATTCATTGAATGAAAGGCATTATCCAATCTAATGTAACGTGAAAGACTTAGTGGGGTGATGCTATTAGACAATTTCAGTATTTGTTGGTGGTATTATTTGTCTTTTGTCTTTGTGTAATTGTTTGTCTTTTATGATTTTAGTTGTTGTCAATTGTTTGTGTTTGTTTAGTGATTGTTTTGTGCCAGTCCGTTGTTGTGTGTTTTGGTGGCGTTTGGTCAGGGTCTTCTGCTCAAAACTCCCTCCCAAGAACAAATCACAACGTCGCCCCTATGGTGTATAATCAGTCCCTGTGTGGAAAAACAAAAAGATACATAAAACCTGGCCCAGTCGGGTCAAGTTTGTTTCGGTATAGTTTTTCAACTGGAGAGCCTGGATTTGGGAAGCGGCTCAATCCACACTGCGGTGATTGAGCCAGATATCTGCCCGGGCGTGCGAACGCGGTGCTGGCCATCCCCCACCTCATTCCACGATAAGCTAAATCCTCAACTGTTTGTGGAGGTCCAGATCCACAGGGCTTAGATGACCGAGGCTTTGCAGTCTTAGGCCCAAAGCCTCATTTTGTCACGAGGCCTTTTCTGTATGTTGGCTAAGAAAGAAAGGCGCGGCTGTTTGCCAAAATCGGCCCGGCAAAATCTTATTGATAAGGCAACAATACAATTGTGGCATCCACCGGGCAAATCTTATCGAATCTGATTGAATCTTATTGAATCCTATTTTGTCGCGTCGCTCAGCCGCAGGTGATGGTGCGGATTTGACTTTGTGTTGTGTTGGAAAATCGCAAATATTCGCCACCGTTTCGCGAGGGGATAGATAGACAGAGATTCTCTCAGGGGGAGCGCCAAAAGCCAAACAATAGGGACAAATCCGGACAAATAGAGACAACGCAAAGAGTTGTTTAACGCTTTAATTTTTTTTGCAAGTGTTTTAGATTATTAAAACAAATTGAAACACGTTAAACCATTCTAAAAAAACCAGGCCGGATTGTCCGGGGTTTCGGCTGGCTTTCGACAGTTGAATTCGTTTGTGCAACTACCATCCTTGCAGACCTCGGGAAAAAAGGAGTGCGTCGCGCATCTTCGATTTTGCAAAAACCGTTGCTTGAGCCCATGAACAACACCCTGTGCCAGGTCTTCTTCATCCTGTACATCATCGTGCTTCTTTTACCTCTGATAGTTGTAATACATCCAAATCATTTTAACAAAATTGAAAGTTTTCAAAAATGTTTTTAACATTGTTGACAACCTGTACAACATTTAAGGTTCGTAAGAACTAGTATAAACTTTTAAAGACTTTTTGCATAACAACGAACATCACAAAGCCATTGTTTGCTTGTATTGGTCGTTATTTGTCCGGATTTGCCTGTATTTGTCCGGATTTGTTAATTATTGTCTTTGCGGACACTCATTGTCACTATTTGTCTTTGCTTTTCCATGTTTGCCATGACTGTCGAAAAAGCCCTTGGGTTTCTAAGCCCTGTGGTTCTGGACAGTCGCAAAAGGTCATGGTTTTGGGGGTGCAGGATTTAGCTGTAGGACCTTCCGAGGTTAGGTTCGGTGGCGATTTGGGCTACTGTCGGGTTGTGGGTTACTTGTTCGGGGGGGGGGGGGGTCNNGGGATTGGGCTCCTTTGCCGGGTTTGCCACGGGGGCTTGGAGTTTCGGGTTCAAATTTTTAGGGTTTCTCGTTGCGGGTTCGGGGTTTAGGGTTTGACGCTTAGGCTTCGGGTATTGGAGTTCGCGTTTCAAGGAGTTTGTCACACGAGCATGCTGCTTGTGGTCCCGGCAGTTGAGCACCGTTGATGTGTAGCTCATCGTTGTAGAGCGTTCAAAACTTTGGTTTTTAAATTTGACCCCGTGGTTTTGAAAGGCTATACAGGGCTGCTGAACGTGCAGACTTCAAGGTGTGGTATTCCTGGTCTGGGGCTTGATTTGGATTCGAATCTCGGTGTTCTGAGATTTCAAGCCCCTGCCGATTCCATTTTCCGACAGCGGTTCGGTCATGGGTCAAGCTCTGTGCCCAAGGAGGATGTCCAGCAGCAAGAAGATGGAGACGTCGGGATGGATGAAATGGTTCCTGGGTGTCAGAGAGCGAGAGCTTCTAACTCGTCGGGAGGCCGTCTATAAGGAGGGAAGCTTCGTGAACGTGGCGACTGGGCGGCAGTGGCCGGCAGGACAGTTTGACTGGCCATCGATCCAGGAGCTCCGCAAGCAAGTCGAAGCCAAAGTGGTCCCGGACTCCAATGCGAGGGCCAGCCCTGTTTTGCGAGTTGTGGATGCCTGCGATGTCGGCGAACTGCAGGCCATGCTGCGAACCGAGGATCGGGCGATGGTGCAGATAGCTTCGAACTTCAACTGCTTGGAGAATCCCTCACGCGGCTGCCTGCCCGACTATGGAGGCCTGGTGGAGAACTACTGTGTGGATGCAACTCAAGGACCCGCTGCATCCTTCGGCGTTCCTGCCGCCAGCCTGCTTCGAGCACATTATGCCTTCCATGATCCTTCGAAGCCACCGGAGGAGTGGGGGCAGACTGCAAAGCAGCAGGTCGAGCTTTTGGGCTCCGTGGCGAAGTACTTCGGGAAGTGTGTCAATGGCAAAGTCACGTTGACCGGGGACGAGGAGGGAGTTTCAGAAAGTAGGGACCTTACATCCTACATGTAGACCCTCTGTCTCAGAATCCTCCAGATAAGGCATCCCCGAGTTTTCTGAAGCGTGCAGGAGGCGCTGAGCCCTTCGCAGATAGGGGAGGTTGCACAACAGATCAAGGTGGGCATCCACCGAGATGCACAGGTCATCTTCGGGCGCGGGAGCTCCGAGATTTACATGGGGATGCTGGAGGAGCCGTACCCCTTGGTCGATCAGGTTATCTCGGCCTCGGTCAATTGGCGATCTCCAGGCGCAAGGCCAGCACAGGAGCAGCTTCTTAGCCTGACACGCGCGGCACTGCGAGCGGCGTACGAGGGCGCCTACCTCGCAGCGATTGAGCGTGGTCGGCACTTGCTGCTGCTTACGCTGATCGGTGGCGGTGCCTTCGGCAACCCACAGGACCTCAGTAGGCCAAGCCTTATGCATGCTAAACTCTACTCTAGGAGCGCCCTAGAACTTGGTGCCTGATCTTAAGCCCGTAGCGTTTTGTGTTTGTGCGGTTGTCTGGCCGCCAAAGTCCGAAGACATCGCTATGTAATATATTATATTATATGATAATATAATACTAATAATACAACATATAACATCATATATATCATATCCTATAATATATAATGCACAGGAGATGATTCTGGAGGAGCTGGCCGCTGCACATGCTCGCTTTGCCTCTCATCCGGCCAGCGAGCTGCGGGAAGTCAGGCTTTGCCTCTTCGTCGCCGGAACGGCAAAGCCGACGGAAGCCAAGCTAAACGATCTTCTTGAAAGCCTGGGTCGGAGCTAGACTAGCCGCCGTGACTTGACCCGCTTTGGGCCTAAACCCTGACCCGTAGACAGTCTTTAGTGGAGGTAGAAAGGTGCGACAGGTGTGCAGTTACACGTCAGACAGTCAAAAAGCACTCCAAGGGTCTGGGCACAGCCCCTGTGTGGGGCAAAGACGAGTCGCCCCAAGAGTCTAGGTGCTAGAAGCGCCAGCACGATCGTTTGTACAGTGACGACGGTGGCACCGTAAAAAGCTTTCTTGACTCCGCTGCTCCTGAGTCGGACAAGCCCTGAAAACGTCTTAAGCCTTAAAGACCACAAACTCGGAGCCTAAACTTGACCTAAACCATGAACCTGACCCCATCATAGCCGGAAGCTGTGGTTGACCTGTCGGCCCGGCATCCCTATGAACTTGAATCCGCAGTCTTGCTCACGTTTGGGTTGGGGGCCTTGGGGGCCCTGCGCAGCCGGATCTGGGTTCGTGCGCGTACCTTGCCTTTGGCAAGGATGGAAGCCGGAGAAGCCAGAGAGAAACGGGCAAAGAGATGCTAAGCGAGTGATCCCGAAGCCCCGAACCACTTCGCTAGGTCAGCCCAAGCTGGAGTGTCGTGCCAAGCTGCCGAGGCGTCAGATCGTGTCGCTGCTAAAGCGCCCAAGCTGGGTGAAGCCGGTGTCGGGGCGCCCAATGGTCTCACTGGGATTTAGCAATCCGGGATGGGTTCGGTAGCATGTTGTACTGCATAGCTCGAGGCAGAGGGATCCGGAAGGATCAGGAGAGGCTTCTGTGTAGTGCCTTAAAGGCGCCCCTTCGTTGAGCCGCGTGGGCCATAAGCCTTCCTTCAACCTGACATCCTAACCCCGAGAGCCTCGAAAGCCTCAAAGCCTAAACCGTGTTTTGTTAAGGCCAAAGGGCTTGAGGCCCTGAACTTACGGGAAAAAGACCTGGCAATGCGGGAAGGCATCGAAAAACAGTTCGTAAAGGAGCCCTCAGAGGAGCCGGTCCCTTTCTAACCGGAAGCCCTCGCAGGAGCCCCTGAAAGCAACCCTAACCCTCCACCAGACCAATCCTAAAGCCAGCAGTTGCAGGTTATAAACCGCACCCCACACGCCGACCCCCCAAACTCTAGACCCTCAGCCCGTCCCAACCCTGCTCGGATCAAGTCGTCTCTTGGACCCAAAAGCCGGGTTTAGGGTTTAGGGTTTAAGTCCCCCATACACTGCAAGTCCGTGCTTAAAAAAAATGCGCTTGGCCGGGCGAGCTCAGTTTAAACCTGTGGAAAAAAGGGTTTAATGCTAAACGGCTCAGTCCCCGGGCTCCGAGAGGCAGCCACCTGCGGAAGGAAGACTTGAACTCGTGTCACCCGTGGTGGACGTCAACACGCCACAGTCTCAGGGTTTAAGGGTTGCGGGTCGAGCTGGGCAGTAAGGGCAGCAGGCGAGCCCTTTGTGGATAACAAAAGGGTCGGGGGGTCATTGTCCAGGGAATTGGGTCAAAAACAAATGAGGGTCCAAGATGCCCCAGCTGATGGAGAAGAGTCTCCTTTCAAAAATGGGTTCAGCACTTGGGGCCTTCGCGTGTGAGACCCCCAATCCTGACAAAACACGTCTTCACCCGCCTGAAGCAGGCTTGCCAAACCCCATGCCCTCCGCCCAGTGCCCTACACCGTCAAGCAGGAGAAGGAGTAGGAGTAGGAGCAGCAGCAG